ACATTCATAAGTGTTATGGGCTGTAAATAAAGCCCGTGGATTTATGACCCGGCGTGCTTGCCAGCTCAGAACCCGGCTGCAGGGCTTTCAGCAGACCTGTCGAGGTGCGAGCTTGCCTTTGGTTGTAAAATTAACCATTTCCTTCACAAATGTCCTCAATTATAAGTCCGAGGGGGAAAACTGACATACGCGGTCGGCTGCCGCCATGACTTCCAGACACAGCCATCACACACCCGTCCCCCAAAAGCACACCCTCTGGTAGTCTGGTCCACCCCCACCTTCTCTGAAACTTTGAAAGATGTCACCTCTGAAAAAGTTAGGGATGCGTCAAGATGTTATCTAATTCCACTTACTAAGACTAAAAAGTTCACACCTACCTCCTTGGAAAGTGCTTATTTATCTAGCAACTGAGATTTTCAAAGGGGGGGGGTGCACAGGGCTCAGAATAAACCTGCCCCTGCCCAAGTCTCCGCCCTTCCCCCACCTACTGTCATCCACTTCCTGAGCAGGGAGCATTTGCTAAATCCAGGTTGTCTCATGCTTAACTGCCAATAAACCAACTTCCACATAACTTCCAGACAGCTGGGGGAGAGGTCCTAGGAGTTTTAGTCATGGTCTAGAAACACACGTCCATACAAAAATGTGCAGCTGTCCGCTCTCCACCGTGCGTTTTTTAAAAGCAATCGGGGCTGGGAAGGGGGGAGAAGAGGATAGAGGCCCCGTTGCGAAAGATCTGACAAAATGTAAAACCCTTTTGGATACCTTCTTGCTTACCCACTGCCCCTATGGAAGGGAACCTGTGCCAGGAATTCTCCCGGGGAAAACTCCAGGTGCACCTGGGTACTTGTGGACTGTGAGGAGGGGTTCAGAACCTGCAAAGACTTCCCACGTCCTCTTGAAAGCAACTATTAAAATGCGAGTTTTCTAAAGCAAATACTTTCTGAGTGGCGCGCAATACTGTTAACTTTCTCACAGCTTGCTAAGACACAGAAAAGCAAGCCAGCCCCAAACAGTGCCTCTCAGAGCACTTTGTATCAGGACACTTTGTATCGGGTCCAGGTGGAAAGCTCCCAGCAAACCTGGGGTGCCAGGGGGACCTTAGAGTTACCACCCCTGGCCGGCAAAAGTTTCCAGAAACACTTCTTCCAAATAAGCATACTTTTGCGCTCCCAACTGCAGAAGGGTTTTTTTTTCTGGGTTTCCAAAAACCTTAGTATCCACAAACTGCAAAATGCTAGCACGTGAAATTTATAATCATTAAAATATGACTTCTTGGGTCAATGTTGAGCCCATAATCCAGACTGCAGACATTAAACCCCAACCTATAAAGATTAGCATGGAATTAATGCTGCTGCATGGAGATTGAAATCTAAACATGTTGGCCATAAATATTTCCAAAGGAGATGAAAAACAATTAGCATAAATACCCCAAGAAGGGCAAGAACACCTGTTCTTTTTCAGGGCGATAAGCATTTTATTGTTCTCTATTTAAAATGTAATGACCTGTGTAATTACAGTAATATTACATTGTTATGTAGGGGCTTGGAATGTCACACTTTGAAAAGTGTTGTCAAAACAATCAGGGGTGAAGGTGGGGGGTGGCAGCACAACAGGGAAGCCCCAAGGTTAACCCTTCCCACTCCAAGGTCTCCATCTTTCGAGGCAGAAGTAGTCTGTCCTTGGGAGTGAGGAGCAAACATCCATTTTTCACAAGCCAGAAAGAGGAGCTGCGGGGCTACACAAAACCTCCGTGCAGAAAGTCCCCGCTGGTTCCCACTTCAAATGCTGAACTCCAAGTTCAAAAATGAATGCAAGATGCTGCTAATGTCCCTCTTCAACTCGGCAGCAAGCAGCTTGGTTGACAAGCAAAGTACTGTGGATGAGAGAAGGTGCAAGAACTCTCATCTGATCGAGTCTTTAAAAAAGAAATCCCAAACCTTGACTGGAATGTCCACCACCCACACTCGCAGTCTTTTTTGCCAGAAAAGGAGTCGGAAAAAAGCAACGTTAACACGACTTTTTCCTGTCAATCTGAATAGGGTAACAGTAGTCTTATCTTCAGCAGACAAACATTAACCACCTTTCTAACATTTGCCATTTTAACGCTTCTCACCTACTTAACCAGAGCCCTCCTGGATGTGCTTTTTGCCTCCAATTCTGTCTTTTGAAAAGCCTCTGCTGTTCCGAGCATATCAAAGACCAAATGAATGTTGCAGGGAAATCTGTGTTGTTTTTAAAATAAAATTGGCACTATCGAGCTTTATGGCATCTCCAGCAATTAGAGCATTATTCCCGAGTTAATGTATTATTCACCACGAGCCAACTGCATGATATTCCTTAATTCCTCACTCTCGGGAACAGAAAAAGCAGAGAGCAGGGGTCGCCCCGAGTTAGCTTCCAGGTACGCTCAAGTAACAGGCAACACAGCCAACCGGCGCCAAGGAGGAAAGGGAGAGAAGAAAAGTGCACAGCCTAATTTGTCTTTACACCTCGCCCTGAGAAACACACTCTCTAAAACGCGCTAAGAATTTCAGAGCGCGGCAACACCGCTGTCTCGCCGGAGGAGTCCTCCAGCAAGCCGTAGCGAATCTGGAATTGCAAGCTGGCCCTCCGATCGGAGCCGTCAGGAGTGACACACCACAGCCTCCCGGCCCGGCTCACCGGCCTGGAGAGCCCAGTAATCCAACCCAGGTAACAGACAGGAAGGGGTGGTGGAACGCAAACATGTCGGCTGGCGTTTGACATGCAAAACTGCCCAGTGAGTTCAGAAATGCCTTCTGAGATTCCATCTGATGTCACAGCACAAGGCCACCCTCTATGTCCACAATTAAACTAAGGAGGTGCCACCTATTCCTAGAATGCCCACAAAGGGGACCAGGGGCCGGGAGCCTTCCTTTGCTCCCCAGGAAATCATTTATTTGCCTTTAACAATTTCCTTGTTTCCTAATTACCGCACAACACAACTGTTCCAGTTTTAGGAGCCTCGGACGGCCACATCACCAGCAGCCACAGACAGAGAGGGCAGTGAGAACGGAATCAAAAGCCAACCCGCTGGCCACCAAAGCTGCGTGTGCAAGAAGGCAAAAGCATTTCCCATCCTGAGGAGGCAGGGAGGACATCGGGAGAAATGATCGGGATTACAGTGGAATGTTGCTTGGTCCGGTTTAACACACCCGCCCTGGGGTTTGGAAGCCAATGGTCCCCTTCCCCACTCTCCATGCAAGATGCTCCCAAGAAACACGAAAAAGCAAAATAACCGGCCTCGGCGTCCCCTGCAGCTGCCAGCCCGCAAAGAGCCGGCCCTGCAGGAGGAGCGCTCTGGCGGCCTCCCCTGCAGCCAGGAGCAGGGGTACATAGCAGGAGGGGTGGGGGAGAGTGGCGGCAATGATTTCTCTTTCCAAAACATTAAAAAAAAAAAAGCTCACCGGTCTAGCATGCCCTTGCCATTTTGTCAGGGTCCCAAAAACAAGTCAAACCTGATGGTTAATATTTTAATGCTTTAAAAACACTTGTAGATCCGATGGACTCTCCAGCGGCAAGCCCTCAGCCATTAGCACAGAAGGCTTTCCTGCCCAACCGCGGGTGCATTCTTTCAAACTGCTATCTCGAGTTACCGAAGAAAGCAGAAACCCCAGTGCTGTGTGTCCATACGGGAGAGGGGACCCAAAACCAGGCAAGGTGCAAAGTGACAATTCCGGGAGCTACAAACGCGCCTAGCGTCTGCGGATTGCGGGGGCCAGGCCGGCTGGTGGTGTGTAGGACCAGAGCAGCCACCTCAAAGGTTAGGGGTGAGGTGCTGCAGGAAGAGCACCCCCAAAGTCCCGCGCCCTCCTGGCGCCCCAAATTGGGCAGCCAGCCTGGGGGTTGGGGGGCAGGCCTGGCCTTTCCCAGCCCCTGCACTCTCCCACGAACCCGCAAGCCCTGGCCTCTGCACCCACCCGCCCCCCCCAGGGCTCAAACTCGGGGCCTTCTCGGAAGCTGGCGAACGCCAGTCGCTCTCTGCACCCTAAAGGCGCCCCATTTCCCAGGCCCCACAGCTAAGCCCGCTGGGTGGAGGCCTCCCCACGCAGGCACAGCCCCGGCAGCACGCGCGCGGCCCGGGAGAGCCCGCGCGGCCGGCACGCAGGGCAGCCGAGCCCGGCCAGGCGCCCGGGGCGCCCGCGGCCCTGCAGGGCTTGCCCCCCTTGCGCCAGGCCGCCCGCAACCCCAACCCTCTCAAGCTTGCGGTGGGACCCGTGCGGGACGGGGTTGTGGAAGTGTGTGACTCCCGGGGGCCAAGGGGGCGGCGGGGCTCAAGTGCGGGGTTGGAAGAGGGAAGCGACAGGGCCGAAGAGTCAGTGGTCACCACTCGAAAGCTACAGAAAAAAAAAAGAAGCCGGCCGACCGAGAAAGCCGCGGCGGCGCCTCCTCGGGGCCCCGGGCTCGGCGCGCTCGCGGCCGCTCCGTGCGCCACGCCTGGAGGGCCCAGGCCGGCGGGCGGCGGGGCCCGCGCTCGGGGCGCCCGGGCGGCAGCCAAGGGGTTAACCCGGGGACGCCCGAGACGCCAGCCGAGAGGGAAGGAAGGCAGAGCGAAAGAAAAGAGCCTCAGAGTCGTCTTCCCGGGGCGCAGAAACAAACACCGCCGCGCCGAGGGGGAGGGGGAGCCGGAGCGCACAGAAAGTTCTCCCGAGGGCTGTCCGCCCCCCGCCCCACCCCGACAAAGCCCTGCTTGGCAGACAGAGAGAGCAGAGAGAGAGAGAGAGAGAAGTGTCCCCCCTCCACCACCCCAACAATCACGAGGCAGCAGCAAACTGAAAGCAGGAACATGGCGAAGTGCAAACAAATCCAGTCCACAAAAGGCAGAAAAGTTTGGAGAGTTTCGGGCTGCCTGGGCCACGAGCGGGGGAGGGGAGGGAGGGAAGGGAGGAGCGGGGAGGGGGGAGGCGGGGAGGGGAGGGGAGGGGGCAGGGCAGGGGCCGCATGCGGGGCCGCGCGGGGGAGCCGGGCGCGGAGGCACTTACGGTTCGGGCGGTGGGCGAGAGCGATCCGTTGGGGAGGTAGGGGCTCGTCAGGTCGGGGATCATGATGAAGGGGTAGCCGGGATACGGTGGCCCCTTAAAGAGCCCTCCATCTTGCCTCTTGGCCGCTAACATGGCGGGGCGGCGAGGGGGACGGCGGGCGGGCGGCCGTGCGCGGCGCGGGAGAGAGCGAGGAGAAAACTTTTTTAGCACGGGGAGCCCCCCGCGGCCGTGCGCCCCGGCGGAGGCCCGACGCGCGCGTGGCGCCCCCGGGCCGGGCCGAGCCACGGGGCGCGCGGGGCGGCGGGGCGCGCGGGGCATACATACTCACCTTCTTCCAAACTTTCCCGGGATTTATCTCGGAAACTTTCGGAGCGTGGCGGAGGCCGTCTTTCCGCCTTCCCGGAGAGTGGAGGTGGGGAGCGCGAGGGGGGCGACCGCCGCGCCAGGAATTTTTTTTTGGGGGGGGAATGGGGTGGGGGACGGTGTGTGGGGTTGGGAGGGGGAGAAGAAGAAGAAGAGAGAAAGAGAGAGGGGGTTCGGCGGGGTTGAGGGGGGCACAGAGAAACAGGGTTACAAGTGGTGGCCACCGCGGCCCCGCGCGCCCGCCGCCCCCGGCCCCGGCCGCTGCCCTGGCCGCCCGCCTTCGCCCGGACCCGGACCCGGACGGCGCAGGCCGGCAGCCCGGGGGGCTTTTCGTTACCTCGGAATCGGAGGAGCTGTTCTGATTCGTTTCTGATTCATTGACTAAAGACGACTTGACATCCGCTAAATCCCTCTCTGCCGACGAGTTTTCCGAGCTCTTCTCCTCCTGCTCGCCCTCGTCTTTGAAGGAAATCAGTTCGTCGTTAGCGCCTAGGTCGTCTCCTCCACCGCCGTTCAGCTGCGGCATTTTTTTTCACCCACCAGCAGCAATTTTGGAAGAAAAATGAAACGAGGAAGAAAAGCCAAAAAAAAAAAAAATCACCCCCTCAAAAAAAAAAAGTTTTCGCTTTCCCTCCCCCCCCAAAAAAATATTGCAAGAAAAGGACGAGTCCAAGGTGAACTTTTTTTTTTTCCTGCTTTGGGGTCTTTTTCTCCTGGGGAGGGGAAAAGAGGGAGGAGGGGAGGGGAAGGGGGGGAGATCTTCTGCACGCGTGAGTTTGGGTCTCTTTTTTCTCTCGTTCCCAAGGATCCGATCAATGTGCAAAAAAATAATAAATAAAAAAAAGGGGGGTAAAAAAAAAAAACACCAACAACAACAAGAAGTCAGATATAAAGAGCAAAGGGGGGGGGAAGCCGAAGATACAGGAGGAGCTCGTGCCGCTCGGATTTGAGAGAGTTGAAGTTAGACTGAGAGCTTTTCAGTTCAAAGGCGGCGCTGATTGACAGATAGAAAAAGGGGGATCGAAATCCGGAGGAACGGAGTAGTCTGGGAGCGGAGATTATTGACAGGGCGAGAGGAACACACTCGCCTTAATGAGATGCCGGGGGCGGGGCCGGGCCGCTGACGTGTGCATAAATAAACAGCCGCGGTGGGCGGGGCGGGGGCGGCTAACAATGCTCCTTTCGGCCGCCGGGAGCGGGAGGAGGGCGCGGCGGGCGGAGCGCCCTGGCCGGGGCGAGCGGGCGCGGGGCTCGCTGCGGGAGGGGGCGGGGGGCGGCCCGGGCAAGACAATGCCGAGGGCGAGAGGAGGGGAAGGGGGTGGCGACCGAGTCCGGAATCGGAGCCGAGCGGGGCGGGCAGGGAGGAGAGGCCCAGGAAAAGTGCACTCTGACAAATCGGAGCCCCGAGTCCCGGGGCGCACGGGGGTTCGCGGCCGCAGAGCGTGCCGTCCACTCACCCCTGGACGGGATGGAGCCTGCACGGGAGCCCTCTTGCAGGGAGCTTGCGAAGTGGAGGCCTGGGCAAAGGTCCCGCTCACCTCCGGAGATTGCAATTAGGAACCCACGAGGTGTCCCCCCGCCCTCCCGGGTTTATGAACTGTGCGTGGGTTCGCTACCCGTTGGGGAACGAACTTAAAGATGCCACAACGACTTAAAAACCAGATGCTGTAATTCTTTTCAGGAGCATGAAAAAAAAATCAAAATCTGAAGGGAAAAAAGAGAGATGCTTCTTTTAAACGTGTGTGTGTGTGTGTGTGTGTGTGTGTGTGTGTGTGTGTGTGTGTGTGTGTTTAACGGGTGATAGGAAATGAGCTGGGGAGTCAAAGTCCTTTCTGACTTTAGAGGTGAAAAGTTTGGGCGTTAACGCCGTCCTGAGGGAAAATAAAACTGAAAGTTCCCCCACCCCTGGAATCCTGGGGACAGGAGTCCTCCATGAAGGACTGAGTTCAGCAAGAGACTGACCAAAACAGTCCCGAGGGAGATGGCCCTGGCAGGAAATTGCTAACCAAGCCCAGGCAAGAGGGCAGAGGGCGTTGGGGAGGAGGTGGGGCCCTTGGGATTTGAGACAGATATTTGTGGATTTGGGGGCCCTCACCTACAAAGCAGATTTCTCCAAGATGGGGAACAGAGAGTCCTGTAACACGCAGGACTCCTAAAACTGCGTGTTCCCGAGTGATGGAGCGAGAACATCCAATGAGAAGTCAAATAGAAGCTACAACGGGGAAAGAGGACCAGAAGAATCCCAAACACGTAAATCCACAGAAATGACCAGATTAACTCACCTGCTCTCCAGCTGACCTGTCTCCACCTGAGTGTCCAAAGGACCGTGACTTTTGGCATGTAATATCTGAGAATTCGAGGTTTTCAGCAAAAGGGTTTTATAGACTAAGGTCTCAGAAAGAAGATGACTAAAAATAATGATACTGATTGACAAGGCCAGTGTGTATTCTCCTGCACTGGAAAAAAAAAAAAAAATCACAACCACATTTGCACACTAAAGAAAACGATGCAGGCAAAATAAAAATGGGGCTGGGGGGGAAGAGCTAGCGTAGAAAGCACGCAGCCCCCACTTTAATATTAATCAGGAACTCAGAAGTGGAGTGGGAAGGAGTCTGAAAAGAAGCAGAACAAATGTGTACATTCAATCAGACAGGATTGCATGGGATACAAGGCACAGGGCTAATTAGCCTCAGCAGGTAGGACTAACCTTCAGACTTCATAAATAAATAAGGCAGACGCAGTGTCTGCGAGGGAGAGTGGAGACAGAAAGGGGATTATTCTAAGACACCAAGTAAAAACATGAAGAATGAAGTGCTTCTCTGTTAAATCCATGTACAAATGGATTTAACAGTTTCCCCTTTCAGGTCTTTTTCACTCGGTTGCCTTTACATTTGCACATTTAGCCAAGTGACCATAGCTTTACACACTTGTTAATTGTCACCTGTGCACTTGGGGTGCCTGAGTCCGGCTATATTCGGCATTCACTTTCCCAAGGCCCGTGTCGGGCTGATTTGCTTAAACTGGATCCCATTTATAGTAACTTGGTTTTATGGCAATTTCTTTGTCCTGTGTTTCTATTTTCGTCTAACCAAGATCTGCACTGGGTTAGCGAACGAGGTCTTCTGTGTTCATGATAGGACTACCTATATAATAAAAAATAACTCCTGTAGAAGCAGAATTGGCGTCTGTAAGGAGTGCCCTCGCTGTGTTTGATGGCCTGCCTTGCGTTTTGATCGGATGTCCACGTGGAGAGTTCTCTCCTTGGGATTAGCAACCTCATCCGACTTGCCCAATTCTTACTCTCATTCAAAGGGAACTCTTGAATCTGTCCTTCTTTAAATCTATGCTTTAATTAAGCAATTAAACGTTATTCCATGATAGCACATATGCCGCATTGAATGTCATTGCTGAGTACCATAAAAAGGCTGGGTAGACCGCAAGTTCTCAAAAACTGAGTAGCTCCTAGCTTCTAGAAGAATTTGAGGCACTGCTCAGGCTGGGGTGTAGGAGGAGGGCAGACTGGAGATGCACTTGGCAAGAAACAAAGTGAACAGTATTCAAAAAACAAAAAAAAAAACAAGGAAGGAAAACAGATTTGGTGTGAATTTTCAACAACTATTGGCTTGATGCAGGTATTAGGCAACTTCTCCAGCTCTCAATGAGGACTCTTAGTTTATAGAAAAGAATCAGCAGGTAGAAGACACCCCCACGCCTCCCCCACCCCATAACTCTGACTTTCAAATAAAATAAATAAAACCTAAAAGAGTGGAAGAGTTTTTTTTTGTTTGTTTGGTTTTTTTTTTGCCAAAATAGCAAAGAGTCTAAACACACGGGGAGGAAGCCAGGCCAGTTCTGACATTATCTTAAGCCAAGGGATTTTGCCACTGTAGCCTCTGTGTCGTGGGAGTGGAATGGCAGGCTGGGCAAGCAGCTGTGCCCGTCTTGCCTTGCAGCCCCTGCCTGGGGCCAGCCCAGGTCCCACACTGGAAGGTGTCGACCCCCAGAGCCCCTGATCTTCACTGCCTCCTCGTCATTATTCCGTGCTCTTGCGCATCATCTGCTCTGTTGTCTGCCTCCTTCCACTCGCCCTCCACTTCCTCAATGGGCATGTATCCTTGGTCATCTACAGTTTACCTTACACCTTAAGTGAGTTGGTTCTCTTCCCCGGGCTACATCCTCCTCGTTCACATGGAGGTGGCAGGCGCCTCCTGAAACAGGCTTGTGCTTGAGAGGGACAGAAAGAGGCTGGCCACAGCCCATGCCACCTGTGGCCCCTTCATCTTATCTCACCTGGCAGGTAAGGTGGTCGGACTGGATGTTTTCTTAGCTGCTTTTTATTTTTTCTTAAGATTTATTTGTTTGCTTACTTAATTACTTGAAAAGCAGAGAAAAGAGAGAGCTTCCTTACATTACTTCATTTTCCAAATGCTTGAAACAGCCAGGACTGGGCCAGGCCAAAGCCGGAAGCCAGGAAATCCATCTCTCACCGCGGGAGAAGGAATCCAGGTACATCTGCTGCATCCTTGGGTGCACATGAGTAGGAAGTTGGATGGGAAGTAGAGCAGCCAGGACCGGACTGAGCAACCAATAAGCGATACAGACATCTCAACTGGCACTTGGACCCTTACCCCCTTAGCTGCTTTTTAACACACACACACACACACACACCCCACATATATACATACCCTATCTGTACTGACAGCTTCCCAGGATGCCAGCAAGGAAGGCAGACCATGTGGAAAGCTTGTCTTTGGAATTTAGGAAAAGCAAAGAGAGTCGGCTTGGATTTTCCAAAAGTAAGGAATACATGTTGACAACCACATTCAGCTCCCTCAATCACTCGGCAAGATTCTACTAAATTACCTTTGGCAGTGATGTGGACGTGTGTGCACGCACGGGTATGTGTTTGTGCTCCTGTGTGATTTTGCTTTAAAGATCCTGCCTCCAAGATGGATGATCTGTTACCCACTGGGCCGGACTTATCTATGCAGGGAGTGTGCTGACGGAGGGAAGCCAAAAAAAGAATCTGAAAACACAAGGAAGCTATAAAATGGGGAAATGTTTAGAAGCCAAAGTCCTGATTCCACTGTGAGATTTTCTGTTTGCTTTGTGTTCTGCGTGGGTGATGGTTCCTTATTTGGACTTTGAGAGAAGCTACTCCCTGGGCCAACATATGAACATTAAAAATTGGACATCCAAGACTTTTCGATTTCAGCAGGAGGAAGGGGTGGGTAAAAGAGCCTGCTTCGCAGGCAGTCTCCCCTCCCGCCCCTTGAATGATTCTGCCAAGGGAATTCTGCAAGGCAGACACCCTCCTTTTGCAACCCTGAGGAATTCTCTTCTGTTCTGACATTTTTCTGGAGCGCCTGGCTTGATCACCTTGCTTGAGCTCATAGCAGGTCTAGGTAACAAGGTGACAATGATACCCGATGATGCAAGGGTTAATGTGGAGAGGTATGTATGTGTATACCTGCCTTCATCCCCTGCCTTCTGAAGCCAGCCAGAGATGCTATAGGCGTCGATGACAGGAAGCTTTCCTAAAGACATCAGTCCCCCCTCTTATTGACAAGATGTCTTTTAACCCTAATAGTAATGGAAGAAGGCCAATAAATGAAACATTTACTGCATAACTTGCCTTATTTTGGGGTGGTGTACAATTCCTTTCTTGCTGTCTCTAGAAGATGTTTTCTGCCTAATTTGCTCCCTGGAAATTTCACTTGCTACAGTTATACGTCTATGACGTTTTATTGCCTCAAGCCAAGTCTGCATAAGAACTTTCTTAAGATATACTTATCCTAATGCCAGGCTACAGGAAGCAGGCTGCTTTTTTTTTTTTTTTTTTTTTTTTTTTGCTGAATTATTTGTGCTATCCTGAAATACAGGACAGAAACTTCCCAATAGTCATCGCCATAGGGTAGGTCTCAGCGGTTTCTGAGAAGGAGGGAAAGACAAGAAAAAGGTGAAAAGGGTTTTATCCGAGTTGATTCATACAAGTCTTTAGAATTAATAATTGGGTGTGCATTTAACATATTAAAATGCCTGAGGTTTTCTTAACATATCTT